ATGAGTCATTCATTTCAGAATAACAGAAGCGCCTTTATGAATGCCCCACGCCCCCCCCCCCCCACCCCCCCCCCCCCCCCACCCCCCCCCCCCCATTCCCCCCCCCCCCCCCCCCCCCCCCCCACAACCGTCACCCTTCAGCTCTGAGGTCAGAGCTCATGTTTCAACTCACAAGTTCATTTAGACGAGTGGAAGCATGCATGCCTGCTTCTTGGAAGCATCTGAGCAAAAATAACCCCATCCCCTTCAAAATTCCAACCCATCAGGACAGAATATGAGGAAAAGGAAGAAAAACAAGATCCCGCTTCTGTTCAATAGTAAAGCCCAGATGCTCTCTCAACAATCCTTGAACCATTTCCAAAAAGTCTTTTGGGAGGAACAGGAACAGCATGTGAGCACTCTTGTTGGACATGCGCTGTTGGGCGCTGTTTGCAAAGAGGAATAAAAGCAGATTCATTTCTAAGAATTTTTATGCATGCTGTGGAAATATAGGTATTCTTCAAAATTATCACATACAGGTGGTGCCCAGCAATTAGACCTTATAATCTGTTGCTGGGTGTGAGGGTTACATTTCAAAACAGTTGAATTGCAAAACAAAGTCAATGTTTTGTGCATCAAATTTGACATTTTGAGTCTTTCTGCAGGTCAAATTGAGAGTTGATGTCCCTGCAAATTTGACTATTGAATTGCAAGGCACCACCTGTACATGCATGGTATTACTACTGTATATAGATATCCTGAATTTCTGGATATTTTGAAGGACAAGAGAAAAATATCTAAATTTGTTTACAAAAAAGGATGTATTGGACAGCATGCAGAAAGCAATAACTCAAGAAAATCAACATTTAATATATGGAGCTGGGTGCAATTGAATAATTACAACATATGCAAGTTAATTAATGTAATACTCACCCTCAATTGGCCTCAAGTAAGACCCACACCACTGATGTTAAGACTAAAATTTCAACAAAATCATATTTTGGAGTATCAGATGCATTCCAGCTTTTTATTAACTCTAAAATGCAAATCAGTACTATGCATAGAAACCCATCCCAAACTTCAATGGACAGTGGAAAATTCTCTAATTGAGATAGAAGGGACATTTAAAAATAAAATGTAGCACTTTTTTCTATTCTCAAAGGATGACAGTAACTATATATTGATTTATTTGGACAACCTTTGCATGTCTTGACTTACACCAAGACCATATACAGTTAGAGTTAGACCATATTTACTCAAGCACCATGCACTCATCTCAACTCTCAAGTAACACATGCAACATATGGGGATTTTCTGTGTGAATTTCTTGGAAAATGATACTTCTGAGGAATAAATTCAAACAATTTTTATACGGTCTCTGAAATGGCAAGATTTGAAAAAAAACACCCAAATTTGAAATTAGACCTGAATTGAGACAAAAGTCAAACAAATTTCAGTGGCTTTCATTATAAAAGTCTTTCTCTTAAAAATGACCCAAAATTTCCCATTAAAATCAATTTCCTAATACTTTTAGTATGAGCCTACACTTTCAACACTTACTGAAAAATTTGTAAATAATGTCCTACAACAAAGGATGCAATTTTTGTCTAATGCATTTACTTGAGCTGTGCCAAGCATACTTATGTTAGATGTGCATCCCAATTTTGTGTGTAAAAACACAAAGAGAAATTTACTTCTACTTAATTTTATGATGTGCAGCCTGGTTTTAGTGACTCAAAAATCATTATACTTGAATACAGTAGTATTTACTTTTTTGAATTTTGTTTAAATGTTACAATTTGTATCATTATTATAATTTTAGCTCAATCCTGCTGTTTTTGTTTTAGTTTCTTTCAACATGTTCTTTTGGCTATTTTGCTGTGATTTGAACCTCCTATATAAAGATTACAGCAGTATGCATTCTTACTCACAGTTGAGTTTTGAGTAAAAAGGATTACAGTATACATGATGTTCAATGCTGGGGATATACAGTAATTGCATTGCCAAGATATGCATCAGCTTTCCCATGAATGAACATTTTCGATCGATTAATATTCCGTTTCCAACAATTATTAAATGTAAACTGAAATGTTAAAATGCAACCCTTTTATATACATAATAATGGCATGCGCTGCACACGAAGGTAATTTATGGTACGAGAGATAATTATGCAAATGTAACTTGGACATGCAGACAAGCAGTAGGAAAATTCCTCAAAAACGAAAAAAATGGCTGCTCATCTATAAAAATGTTTTATTCCTGTATCTATACTTCTGAGTACTCTCTGAGAAATTAATCTCACACCACATCATATACCCAACACAAATTCGACACAGAGATGTTGAAAAGAGATTGAAAGATTCTAGATATTCAGTACATGCATAGAAAACCCATTCGGGCACGTGGAAATAAATATTCAGAGCGGTGCTAAAAGTGTGTCGTCGACTCGTCGTCATCTCTTGGGTGATAATGAGTACATCATCTATATGCATAAACTTCATGACTTAGCAAGCTTGTCAGCACATTCCTGGCATTCATTTTCCAGCACCTTGGTTGAAGATATTTTTCTGCACTGAATATAATGAGAAAAAATCATTAACACCTTCCTCATTATTGAAAGTATGGCGCCTCAGAAGCGATTACGTAACAGAGTGAGAGAAGTCGGATGACTTCATCAGAGCATCATTCCAACGGACACAGTCATATATATACAGGTATATGGATACTTTTATTGAAGTGTATAGCTCATTAATTATTGAAAATGCAGAGGCATATACTGTACTGTATGATAGCATTTGTCCTGACTGCTGTACTTTATTATGCATGTCTTTTTAATATTACTGTATTATTTACCTATATACAGAGGAGATAATAGTTCCCCTTTGCCCAAAAACACATCAGACTTGTCAAATAATGTTTGCAACCTGATTTTCTTCACTGATTCCATGCAGGATTGTCATATACTGTATAATAGTGCACAGAAAGGGTCTTGGCACATTGGTACTTGAACATGGATGTGGTCCATAAATTATGCCAAATTTTTCAAATGCAAAATGTGTTCAACCTTGTTTGAGAAACGTTATAAAAAAACATTTAACCCCTGCATATAACAGACCTACTACCAAGGGGATTTTTGCCAAACAGACCACCTCTGGAGGTCACTTTTTCCTCCTGCCTGATGGACAAAATCTTTCTGACAGACATATATTGGTTTAAAATTCATGATGAAAAGGTAAAATTGTAATGTAATTGAATTCGCATAACAGACTTTTCACTTTAGAGACAAGTCTGTTGCACAAATTAAGTCCATTGTGTGGGGGAGTTTACTGTATTTGATTTGTTCCATGCACATTCATGGGTCCTGTTATAACCCATGGCTCACTGTAAGTAGAATTTGGTTCATGTCAGTTGCACATGAACCATTCCAGAAAATGAATGGCCCATATCTTCAATAACCAACTTGAAAAGAGAGATTATACTAATTTGATCCAGAGATGGAGGCCATATACTTGTTCAAGCCAGACTTGCATCTTCATGATGAGCATTGCTGCAGGTTGACTTAGAAACAACTAACCTTCCCAAGTGGGGAGCTATTCTTTGTGTGACCCTAAGACTGGTGCACACTGGGGTCAAAACTGGTGTACATTGGCTATTCTAGGGTTACAAGCATGCACCTCTGTAGATTAAATTTTGCTACCATCCCAGAGCTACATTTGGTGCACAAATGTGACATAACAGGAGTATCACACAAATGCACCAACTGTAACCTTATTAAAAAAAAAATTCAAATTTTTCAAATTTTCTGGAACGGATTAAACGATTTCCCATACAAGTCTATGGGAAATCGTGATTTGCAGTAAGAACGTTTTGTACTAAGAACGTAGCTCTGGAACGGATTACGTTTGTAGTGCGAGGTACCACTGTATTTGATTTGTTCAATACACATTCATGGGTCCTGTTATAACCCATAGCTCACTGTAACTAGAATGGTTCATGTGCAACTGACATGAACCATTCCAGAAAATGAATTGCCCATCTCTTTAATAACCAGCTTGAAAGGAGAGACCATACTAATTTGACCCAGAGATGGAGGCCATATAATTGTTCAAGCCAGACTTGCATCTTCATGATGAGCATTGCTGCAGGTCACATAGGAAATACATCAACAACTAACCTTGTTAAACAAAGTGATTGATCACTACTTTGTTCCTTCAAGGTCCATGCCCAATATATAGCGGCAATGTCAACTGTTTTACTTCAGAATGCATTTTTCATCACAAAAAAGCTATTTCATGACTGCTGGTCCCAAAAATTTATCCAGGACTACAATAATAAGCCAAGTTAGCTGCCAATTTCACCAGAAAACCCACACAGAACCTGGAATACTGCAGGACCCCAAGAAGTGGGCATAATTGGTGCTTGGACCTTGTTCCAACATACAGTATGCTTGATTGTCAGAAGGTTGAATCACATTTTATTATAGATTTTAATGCAAAAATATTTAATTGGTTCTCCCATTCAGTAAAAATTAGGACTAAGTCCTCAAAAAATTTAATAAAAATTGTTTCCCTCAACTTCAAGATTACAGAAAACCACTGGGCAGAAGAAAATCCACAAAAAATGTGATCTTTCAGCATCAGAAGGAGCTCAAAATCCAAAGCACAAGAATAAGTTTTGCTATACTATGCAGACTGCACAGATTATAGAAATACTGTACTCTAAAAAAAGAAGCAAAAAATCAGCCGGTTTACAATTATGAATGAAGAGCAAAATTTTAATGGAATGTAGTTCAATTCTTGTGGACATAAATAGCTAGATTTTTCTGGAAAATGTTGGCGAAGTGTCTCAAGCCATTGTCTGGATGTTGGGGAAGATTTTCTTCCTGTCTCACATGTAATCATCTAAATTTTTGGGTGTCCACATACATGTTGGGGTCTCACTCCTGTACACAACAGATTTTAACTTAAAGACCCAGAGGCAGGAAAAAAGAAATGATCACTCAAAAAGTAACGCCAATAACGTGAAGTCCACCCTTGCATGCGCTTATATTTCTGGAGGACACGGAAGGCATTCGACAATTCTGAATTCACAAAATGCTACCACGGGTCCCGAGAGACGGGTTCTATTACAGTGGTTGTGGGGCACAGGGAGGGACGAATTCCATTGGATGCTCTGCATATATACATACAGGAGACAACCCAGCTTTACAGCTCCTTTACAGCCTCAGGAAACCAACACAACAAAAACAATCGTTGAATAAGTTGTTTCTTTCTCTTTGCTCTAGGATCACACATCCAAAATCACCTCCACCTTCGGGGCTTTTTCTTCCAAATACATATTCGTAAGGGACATCACTTGTATTGTACCTCCACTAATCAACATCTTGAAGGGCACTCATACACCAGTTCTCATTGTCTGAAGAAGGAAAATAAAAACACCTTCAGGTTTTCCACCTTCCTCTCAAAACTGCGAAAAACCGGCGTATGACTCCCAAACAAACATCGTTTTCCTACAGGCAGGAAATGAGCAATACGATGAGGGAAAAGCAGGAAAAACTGTGGCAAAAACTTCGGATAATATGGCAAGGCTTCCCATTTATCTCTCTTTTTTTTTCTTCTTTCCCTAGGAAGATTCACGATTCACGGCCACTCTCAATGCCAGAAAATGGTCAATAAATTCACAAGCTTGAAACAAGAGAATAACAAATTTTTGAATGATTTCGGAAGCAGGAAAACACACGCGTCGGGTATTTTTTCAGCACTTCACGCGTCCCGCAGGCATCAGTCGGATTTGTCCCCAGAAAATGCTGCAACATAAATTTGAGAATAAATGCAAATACTAAATCACAGTTTAATTTACTTTTAAAATTGCTCACCCTCCTTGACTCGCTTCTCTCCCTCGTTCACCAAATCGTGGATTTTTGATTCGTGCTTGAGGAAGAACGGACGAATGAGGCTTTTGTAGATTACTGTTGAACCGTTGCCCGAAATCGGGGCATAGCACCAGATCAGGAATCCGCACTAGAACACAAAATATACAGGTAGATAGTAAATTAACCGATTACAGAAGTCCACCGGAATGTGTTTCAAAGCTCAAATGTTTCTGGTAGGTGTCGCCCGAATCACTGCCCATGATGACCCCGACCAACTCCTCATACTATCACGAATGAATGCAATAAATTTGCAGCTACTGAACACTCAGGGCACTGCAGAATAGATTTTTTTGCTTCAAAGCAAATCTGGTACAGGATTGTATGATCTTAACTTGGCTGACCTAGTCTAACCTACACAAACGTACCTTTGATCAAAAGGTTTCAGTGAACAATTAACCTTAAACTCCCGAATCTTGAACAAATGACAATCATCACAATTGATTATACATTGATATACAAGGGTTGTCCTACTGCAGCGCGTCCTCAAAAATTTTGACCCCGTTGAAATTGAAAAAATAAAGTCTTCACAATTTCCCTCATGGTGCATTGGCTATTTTGTCAAATTGTGAAGACCGTTCTAAGCAGACAAGACACCGCCTGATTTTTTTTTACAAAGAATAGTGAAAACTTTTGGTGTCAGTACACTAGAAATTTGTCACAAAAGATAACATTCGGATGTTGTTGAGTAGAATAGCAGGCTCCTAAAAATAGTAAAAATTTAAATTTTTTGTAATGTGAAGGTGCTACAGTAGAGCCTTGAAGTCTCTGTCTACATTTCCTCAGAAACAATGCTATGAAAACCTGAACCAAAATGATTTTCCCCTCAAATCTCCAAAACTCAAATTTTCTGGAGCCCTTTCGACTGCTATTTTATTGACAAAGGGAAGATAAAAGTGATGAAAATTTAAATTGCTGCATTTTGAAAGAAGGAAAAAACACTTTTCTGGCAAGCAAACCCTTGCCTTCAACTTCAGCATCCTGTCAAGTTATTCAAGGCCCAAAATATCACCATTCAAAATTTTCTGCAATTCTCCCATGTTTCCCACCCAACTCAAAACCTTCTCACTTATATGTTTTTTTTTTTCGTTTGCTGGTCCCTCCAAAATTCGACTCGACCGTATTATCAAACAAGAAAGCTATTCCTACCTTCACCAGCCAATACACTGGGAACCACGAAAGAAGGATGTCCGAGAAGAATTCCACGAGTGAGAAGACGGCGAAAACGACCCAGTAGGTCAACCACTTGGTGTCGTCCTCCTTGCTCCGCGACTCAAGCGCCTTCACTGACATGTAGGCCGGGTACACGAATCCAATCAGATTGCACACAAGCTGGGCGCCATATCCGTAAACCAGCCAGAGAACGATGAAAACCAACGACCCTTAGAAGAAAACACAAAAAATGAAAAATCAATCACAATAAACAGATGAAACGCGAAAGAGAATTTCAGTTCTTACCCTTTCAAAGGAACTCATTTTGATTGAACAACAATTCCAACACAAAGGGAAAAAGCAAACGGGGTAAAAATTAACGAAAATGCGCAACAACAAAAAAAGATTACACTACAACAGGCATTGGATGACCTTTTAAAAGAGGCAAAAAAAAATTGGAGATGAACCCTTCCTCTTGGAAAAACGCAAAATGCACTTGGGTTTTCACTTGTTAGGAAAAAAATGATCATTCAAAAAATTGAAAATTACACAAGATGTGAGAACGTTCGTGCTAAAAACAAAATAAAATGGGCAATGTTTTTGTCAGGCCTGTAAAAGTTTCAACAGCTCCTGCCATGGGTGGATAAGTCTCACCACAACTGGGATGTTTTCACTTATCATCTTGCAGTAAATCTAAAATTTTATAAAAATCTGAAAAAAATCCCAAAACCTTCTAATAGCATGGGCTACATAATATATTATTTTTACAGTGGTACCTAATAAGTAATAACCATGGTAAATCAGAAGTGAGACAACCCCAGTACAGTATTTTACTGATGGAACATTCAAAAATCTGTGAAAACTGCTCGAATTCACACTTTTAAGGAGGTTCAACACTCATCACAATAAGTACATGAGCTTCTCCGTCAGAATTCCACATTCTGAACATTTTTTGACAGCCTACCAGAAGTATCTCATTTGAAAATCTTGGTGCAAATAGTCATGATCAATACTTCATCTTTTGAAACTTGAATCCTCCAATTATAACCCCCCAAGAAACAGGATTTGTAACACCCATGAATCAGAACTAACTCAAAATCCAATTAATCTACTCAATTAAAACGTCACTTTTTCCAAGCCAGCAATTGATACTCTCTTGATCATGAGATTATCGAATCAAATTCTCACCCAGGGCGACGTAGAGACGCGGGGCACCAGTTTTCTGCTCTACAATCACCAACAAATCGGTGACAGCATTCTTCTCCTTCAACAAGGCTTCGAGTTTCTGACGATACACTTCCATGTCGAAACGAGCGAGAGGGTTTACGAACAGAACGCGGCAGCACACCAAAAATATAAAAAAAGCACTGAAAAAAAGCAAATTGTTTTTCAAAATTAAATTCGCACGAACAAAAACACGCGCATGTGACCACGACATAAAAGCAATTCCAACGGAACGGCGTTGTTGCATCATTCCAAAGCAATAATTCCTTCAAGTGCCGGCCACTTCACACTCCGCCTCAATCGTGTTTCCATAACAGGAAGAAATTCGATCCCTCACGCGAGAACCTGACAAAAAAAATAAATCCTCTCTCTCTCCCTCTGCTTTTCTGCAAACGAACAAAACGCACCCAAAATCACCTCAGGTAAAATCGCATATTGAAATCGTGGACTCGGATCACACACAAAAAAGGATCCCCCTTTCAAGCCATCAGCACGACGAATATAATGAAAAAAACTATGAGTATCCCGAATATCTTCATCATCAGCCATCTGTTGGACGTCACGGATCGGAAATACTTGAGGATCTCGGTGTGAGCTTCTTCAATGTTCAACTGAGCATCCTCCACGTTGTTGTCGATTCTGAAACGAAAAAAACGGGATGATGAAAATGGAACAGAGAACAGTGTGTTTTCACGCTCACATACCCTAGAGATAACGGGAGATAACACGCCCAAGCTACACGAATTATCCAAGGCCATGGAATCGAAATTCAAAAGCAGTCTCCATTGCATTCAAATGCAACTATTTAATTTCTCAAAAATTTCAAATGCTACTAATAAGTTCTTTCTACGACGGCATGACATCACTTTTTTGAAAATCGAACTTTTGAAACTTCGATCAGCAAATTGAGAAAGAATACGAGTGATCGAACAAATGTTCTCGGAATATAAATTGAAACGGCATACGGCTGGAGCAGAAAATGCATTGAAAAAAAAAAAAAAGCTGTTCACCGTCGAATGGACTCTTCTTGCTCCTTCACCATGTGGGCCAGTTGCTGGAAAATCGAGCCCAACTCGACGATCGTCGACTCGATGCCCTGCATCGTCTCAGCCCGCTCTTGCACGTACGAGTCCTGCTCCACAGCCAGCATGGCCTGCTGCTGCAGCTGGTTCGGCGATGGCTGCACTCCTCCCATGTCGATCGTCACACTCCCGTTCCCGTGCAACATGTCCAAGTCTGGGGCGTCCTTTGCCAGCACAGAGCCCGACGGGAAGCCCTTGACTGCCGACATGGGCATGGAAGTCGCCACTGGGGCGTTGCCATATTCGTCTCTTCTCGCTTGCTCTTGCTTCAAATTCTGAAAATTTTGAAGGGAAAAAAACAATGAACACAGATTTGAGTACGAAATTCACCGATTTGAAAAATCCCGCAAGGAGGGCACTGGGTTCACAACCACGACATTTTCACGCTTCTCGGTGAACAGATCACTGAATTAAAGACAAACCACAATAAAGCACCGCGGAACAAATCTTTCTTGAAGGAAATTTATATTGTTCTAACTCACTTTGCGCCATGAAAAATTATTGTCCTGGATGAAAAATGGGCCAAAATCGAAGAAGTTACTGCATTTTCAAGGGTATCATTGCATTACAGTAAAACTGAGAATTACATCCACCTGCTCATATGAAAACTCAGGATAATTTTGAAAATTTTATTTTTGAATTCACACTGTTTAAAAATACATTTGTTCTTATCTTTATTGAAAACCATGAAAAACGTGGAAGCTTTCCTGGTAAAATTGGTGATTACTCTATGATGGGACATGAAATGGAATTGAAATGCGAAGGAAATCTCAGGAGACAGCTCTGCTCTTCTCCAACACACATGTTCAAAAAATATTTCATATTCCATTCAATATCTTGAAATACAGAACAAAATAAAAAAAAACAGCCCATCTGGTCTTCGAACTGTTTCTTTGGGCTTTCCCTCTCATGACACAGACTGAGAGGCCCAATAATTATGCGAACAAGCCGTATTTGACTACAAAAATCTTCCGTCATGGATGAAAAATGGGCCAAAATCGGAGATATTCCGACGTTCTTCTAAGGATACCGTTGGAACATCATTTGAAAAGAGACCAAGAAATCCTACAAGAAGAACCCTCCACTAAAGCTCCCTCTCTTACAGTACCCTCGATTTAGTGCCACAAAATTTCCCAGGACAAAGAATTGCCCTAAATCGAGGTCAACCCATGGAATTAATGCCACGTTAATTTCAAAGATTCTGAAGAAGCTGGGCTACACTAAAAATTCTGCAAGATGGGCGCCAAAAATCTGTCAGGGTGACTGTTGAAAAAAAAATCCTGCAAAATATGTCTAACAGGGCTGTATTTTTTCTTCTTGTGCCTTCTTCTGAAAAATGATTTGTTTTTCAGCTAATTCCTACGCCGTTTTAATTTTCACTCAAAAATCTTTTGTTAGACTCCTCGTACATGCTCAATCCCTTAACCTTCACAAAACGCAAAAATCAGGGGAAAAAGGCTCGAGACAAGCTCCACTCTCAAAAGATACTTTTTAAACGGGAGATTAATTCCAAAGCATTTGGAAAATAACCTCAAAAAACTTCATTATTCTGTTCACCTCGGTCCGGATTTCTAAAACTTCCTGAAACTGGTTCGACATGGATGCCAGTTTGGACTGTAGGCCAACCACGACGGTGTTGGAATGTGTCTGCATGTGTCTTCCTTTGAGCGACTGTTTCGCCTTCACTAGGCTCTGTAATCGAGCGATTTGCGAGTTCAAACTCGTTATATCCTTCTTGATGATGTACGTGAGCTCCTGGATTTCCACTGACCGGTCATCAAAGATCGATCTCCTCTTCGCAACTATAAAAAAAGGCAATGCAGTATCTCACGAATACAAAAATAGAGCTCATGATGGCAACATTTGGTTACAAGCAACGATGCTCCGATATTTTCAGTAAAAACGGAATATAACTTTTGATTTACATGATTTTAAGGAGGATGTGTGTTATTTTATTACCATGTTTTTATGAACTCACTTTCTCGTCTGTCTGTTTATCCGGATCAAATTTTGAAACTCAAATTTCACTCACTTCCCGACTAGCTAGATTAATTTTTTAATCTACTAAATTTTTATTCATCATTACGCTCGCCCAAATGACCATCTCATCGTTTTAACACAAAATTTCGAGAATTTTACGGTAAATCACTAAATCAGCTTCCCATTTACGAGATTAAAATGAAAACGAGAGACTGAATCTCAGCATCCTTGTTCTGGCAATGCAACATCTACAACTTTGGCAAATATTTCAATTGAACGCGGCTCAAAAAGTGAATCTGGGTCAAATCGACACTGGGACAATTCAAGACAGATACCTTTTGAGACAAGAGACTATTACAGAGAGATGCATTTTCAAAATGACTCTCCTGTGTTTTTCCTCAATATCTCATGTTGAAGATGAAAAATTGGAATGTTTCATCAAAAATGTATATCATTATAATTTCTCTTCAACTAATGATTCAGACAAACATTGGAAAAAATAATTGGAGTAATGCAACAACTTTGATTCTTCTTGAATTTTGCTTTTTACTGATAACAGGAAGAGGAAAATAGGGCTTCAATATTATTATAAAAACCCTATCCCTCTTTTATAGTTTTTAAAAGAATCTTGTGAAAACCTAGATTCTTTCAAGTGCAAATAAAAATGTTGATAGGGGAGGGGAGAGAGAATTTTGAAAAAACCAGAAAATCTAGTATAAAAAAAAAATGGTGTTCAGAGTTGCTTTTGGACTGTCTCAAATTGTCCCACTCTCTAAATCACCCTGTCTCAAATTGGACCTTTCGTGAATTTTCTGTCTCGATTTGTCCAGTCTCGAATTGTCGGCCTCGATACGTCCGTTTCCCTCAGAAAAAGATATACATTATTTCCATTTTCTGTCCGTGAGATTTTCATCGGAATTCTGAACGAATGAAAAATCTTTTAAAAGAGTATTCGGCTAATGTTTTGACTCTCCTCATGAAATGATATATTCGCAGATCAATAAATAAGAAACTTACGCAGGGTGAGTTTCTCCAACTTCGCGTAGGTCTTCGTAATGTCGCCTCCGATTAATCTGGAAAATAAATGAAACAATCACAGCCTCTAACATAACCTCAGATTTCTAGGCAAGTAAAATTTTTTTTGCTTCATTAAATAAAATACTATCGTAATTCGCCACGAAAGCATGTTCTCAAAATTTCAATTCCGCTTACTTACGGAAAATCCCGCGAAGGCATCCACAACAAACACGCAAACATACACGTCAATGAATCGAACTTAATCATATTGCCAGCATTCGATCACTTTTTCCATAATTTCGTGATTTAGTTCCAAAGCCGATGACCATTGCTCAGCTTAGTTCGAAGATGACGAGCGATCGTAACTCATGCTCAATTGACTTCAAACACACCGGAAAAGCTTCAATTTTTAATTTCACAGCAAGTTTTGTTTACCAAAAAACCGAATGAAACATCACCAACTCGCGTGTATTCGATAATGAACATCCAGAACCACAAACAACATACCGCGCTATGTTAAAAAACTGCAGTCATATTGCCAGCTGAAGATCATTTTTCCAGCATTTCATGATTTAGTTTCGAAGCTGCTGACCATTTTTCACCTCAGTTCGAAGAGAACGGGCGATCATAACTCAAGTCATACAAGCTCAATCACTGGATTTTCACACGACACATTTCACCTAGACTTCAATCACACCGAAACACGCTTGAATTTTCCACTTCACAGCAAAATTTTGTACACCATGCACGATTGGAACATCACGCGCATTCGACAATGAACAGCCAGAAATAATGCAGAAACACACCTCGCTATGTTCATGAACTCCAAAAACTGCTCCAAATGCACCACTTGCCGCTTCGTGCGAGGAGGCTTCATTCCATTCGGCTGTTGTCCACGCAAAGACGTCACAGTCGTGAGAAACTCATTCGTCCTGTCTCTCGAATTCATTTCAGAGTTGAAAAGCGACTGACTCGTCGTCACTGGTGGACCAAACCTGCTCGGATCTTCGGTGTGGAAAGCAAAGGTGCTCTCACTCGAGTAACCGTAATCCGCGTGATCGTCGCGAACACTTCCACTGTCAGCACCGAGCTGCTTGCGACGTCGCGGAAGCATAGAAAAAGGACACTACTGAACTCCTTATGACCCACCTGTTAATCCGGGAGGAAACAAAAACATGAATTGAGCCTAGTCAGAAAAAAAAAAAAGAGGCGACGAACCCAGAGGAAGAAAAGTCCAATGCAAGTCCCAGCAAATAATCCACTTCAAATTGAGAATCAGACTAAAAATTTGGTCAGGGTTAAACCCACAACTCGAAGAACAAACACCATTCCTGAGTTGAACGGAGCCGTCAAATTGCACACACACAGTCAAATGATTGTTTTTAAATATTGAAGAATCCGAACTAAGGCAGTTCTACAAAAACTTTCACGAACACTCGTTAAAACAACTGTCAACAAATTCCAAAAAGAAAGTTTAAACCTTATCGAACTCAGCATTCCGAAATTCGTCATTTCGGTACACGCTCACTTCGATCGATCATCGATCTCAACATGATGTACTCGCTGAAAATATCCAAGGGCGTTTTGAAACTCGCTCTTTCGACACACGCTCTAATGAAACGTGCTGTAGTAACTAAAACTCGCCTTTTCTACGTACGGCTCTCGATATTTGCTTCAACACCAGCTACTTCGATTTTAGTCACTCACATCAACCCAGTTGATACTCGGTTCACCTGAAACTTAGTCCTCGTAAACACGCATCACTGATATTCAATCTTTAGAAAAACTGTTCGTCCGATGAGACGTTCAGACTAAAACTAACTTTCTTCGGAAAGGATGAATGAACAGGAACCCATCAAGTCACTCACACGGATGAACCAATATCAGTGCAACAAGAATCACTTTTTTATATAGATCTCTCGTAGGATCCTGACTTTTTTCGAAAACTTTTTCCGTTTTCGTGTTGCACAGAACACTTGAATCGTACTTCATCCACGTAGGATAAAATTCCTAGAGAATAAAAACATTTATCACCTTTTCTACCAGAGATGCTCACTGCATTGATGTCCACTTGGAACAATCGACGTTTTCATCTTAATGGACGAGGCAGAAGTTCGGAAGAAATTTCCCTTTCACTTGAAAATTTCTCATGAAGTCGCAGAGATTTTTCAAATGGCCTACTTTTTCGGATGAAAAATAAAAGAACTGATTCGAGCAGTTGACCGAATAATCCACTCCCTGCATCATGAATCACAGTAATCGTGAACCGACGAAGACACAGAAAAAAAACGCACTGATTTCCGCAACTTGCATTCGGACCTGTTCGCAGAAACAGTAAAAAGATTCGAAATTACGTTCGAAATTCAGAAACAAAGCATTCAACAGTAAAGTTATGAGAAGAATCGCTCGAGGAAGATTTTAAGCCGATGAAGACAACCCTTGATTTTTCATTCTCTCCGACATGAAAAAGCAATACTGCACGTGTGAAGAGCCCAGAATTCTTCACTATCAACCTCTTGAACAAATATAATTACAGCAACAATATCAAATCTCACAGCTTTAATAAATAGGTCGATTTTCCCACTCAATCTTCGAAGACGAAACTGAACCTTCAAATCATAAAAATATATGTTCTTAAGCGATTATCACACTACCGCAAATGAACATGATTTAATGCTTTTCTGGCAGGTGAACTCCAGTATTGCGACTGACGCTCAATGCATGTGACCAACCTTGGAAAATGAAGATCATTCCAGTCATTCAATTATTACTCGTCAAGCCTACTTTATTCTTTTGTGATTCAATGTTACATTTGTTATGGAAAATTCTCTCTGCTCGCCATGACTATTTTTTTATTCATACGTCAGAGGCAGAGAAGATAAACCTGAAGGGCGTACTAATCTGCAATTTTACACGCAAGTCATCTCAGTACTTCAGATTTTACACGGAAGTTCATTATGGTTTATTTCCAATAATCTTTCATTCATTGCAGCTTATGAATTTGTGCTAAAATTCATCTTTATTCATGATGTTGCGTATCCGGTGTTTTTTCCTTAATCATCCAATAAATCATTTAGAAAAATCAGGAACATGTACCTGGCTGCAAAACAGCCAAATCTTTGTGCTTCATTTTTAATCCTTTGCACCTTTGTTTTCTGTTTATACTCAACAACTTTTCATCAACCATGGACTCTTACAAAGAGCCTTCATATATGAATAATTCCTTGAAGTTCAAATCTGCTTTTGACAGTCAACTGGTCAAAGTAAGGGAACTGCAAATTTTTCAATTCAAAAATGCAGCAGTTTTTGCACTGGACCTTCATAATTGAACGTCAGAAAAGAACTCCATAAAAAACAGCGATAGTCAGTCAAAAATTAGTGTTCTACAATGATGACACTGGCCATGCATAATTGCGTCAGTCGCATAATGGACCGGCACCCAGAATCAGCACCCTTCATAAAGCATCAATATATGCAACATTAATGATCAGGACTATCGAATCGTAAGTCACAGGGTACACAAAATCCAATAAAATTACGATGACATTTCACAGCCTCAGCTGAAATTATTGCGAAGCAAGGTTTTTGAGGAAGTGTCGACGAGCGTCAAGGTAAATCATGTAACCCTTGTACGATCTCGGGATAACTGAAGGAACAGTCGAACCGTCCATGGCTTTGAAAGTGAAATAGAACGTGTTCGTCAGCTCTTTCTTCCCCGTTTTGTAGTCCTCCACGTCGGCCCTGACACGAACTAAGACTGAGTCCCCTTCGGTGTATCCGATGACTGATGTGAGATGGAGAATAGAGCCGACTTCCACGGGTCGTCGGAAGAGGATATCGTCGATGAAAGTAGCTCCCATTCTAGTTCCACTGGGAATAAAAAAAATACATATGTATACAGTATATACACATATACTGTATACAGTACAGTAAAGTATAATACTTGATAAAATACAGTGAGACCCCCACATGAGGACACCTCAACCTGCGGGCAATTCGACATAGGGACACTAATTTTATCATAAAAAATTAATAAAAAAGGCCCAACATGAGGACACTGACTCGACATAAGGACATTTTGTTATAAAATTGCAAATACACTTCAGATCAAATTACAAGAAACAGATATTTCCAACCCTAAAATTGACATCAGAAAGGTTCGTGGGCATTTCTCTCACCAATTTACCATCCATTTAGCTAAATAAAAAAATACCTTCAGCAGAGAGGGACTTCCTTCTCTCTTTTTCTCTTAAAAATATTATTTTTACAGATAATGCCAACATTTCTATGTACTGTATACAGAGGTATTAGCAGTCAATTCCCCAAATGACCATATTGCGTTGAAATTTATTGTTTGGAATCAGTTTAAATTGGGAGAAAATGTTTATTTTCAGGGAATTATGGCGAGTATTCTGTCCATAAAATACCAATTAAAAATTATATAATGTAAGTCAAGGGGGGGGGAAATGTGACTCAACTTAGGGACACTCTTGATGCACCAGTTACATCCGCGTCTTAGGGTCTCACTGTATTGTACAATACTACGACACCACTCGGCGAATTCCCAATGCGAAAACATAAGGGGGTTTCGAAAGCAATTGTATCAAAATCTATGAACATTTAGGGCAGTCCTTAGGGGCTTAGCGCAAAGAATTAATTTCAACAAGGATTCCGTCGCATAAATTATTTATAGGAAGACGTCATTCAGCTAGTGTATAACCCATGAGATACTCCGGATTGAGCAAAAGAACTAGCGGTCGCTCCGTTAAGCACAAAATATGAACAATTTTTATAAGCACCCAGACAGAAAGAAAAATCAAATCAGTTTCTTAAAATGTACCCCTCCAAAGCAAAAAAAAATTCTATGAAACTTGAATCATCGAGGGACATCAGAGAAGTCACAGAAAAAAATTTTCCGAATGGACGCGCAGAAAATATGAAGACTTATAAATCCACGAAAAGTCGCTTGAAACATTTCGAAAAATGATATTACACTTCTGAAAATAACACCCACAAAATTTCCCGCGTAAAATCATGCTTTAGATGTTCATACAACAGCTTTCAAAACGCACGAGTCACCGACTCAGAATCTCGGCGAGAATAAAAAAAACGCACTGCACAAAATCAACGAAGAAGATCCGGCTTCGAATAACGCAATAACACAAAAACGAATTGAACTGGGCTTCAGAATGCGAAGTAACACTCACCAGTAACTAGTCGCAGATGCCCAGCCGAGTTCGTACGCAAGTCGCATCACAAAACCGCCGAAAATTTTGTTGTACCGGTTCCGATGCTAAAGACGCAAAAGCAGAACATTTAGTGCACCCATGGAAATTGAAAAAAAAACTTTCGTTTTATCTCATTCCACTCTTTCACGTCACTTGGATGAATCACTTCCAAAGAGGTCGAGGGAATAAAACTTACATTTGGATGACATAAAGTGATATCCTTGTAAGTAGCTTCCGACATAAACTTCTCGTTCGCACCGGGCGGAGCAGAGTCTGCAGTGAAATCGTCGGATCGAAGGAACATTTCGTGGATCAACTTCGATTCTTCGCCATTCGGAGGAGACTTGAGCAAACTCTCGTCTCCTGAAGCCTTCCTCTTCAACACATTCGCTTTAACAAATAAATTTTTAAATGAGCAGCTTGTACCATATAAAATTGCAATTTCGCGATCCAATTCACGTACCTTCGCCTTTTTCAAAATACAATCGGTCATCGTCATTTTCCAATGACATGGCATTGATGACAGCGGAGCCTCGATTGAGCGGATCACGAGCGACCATGACGAAATTCGAACGCAACTTCTCCGTGTCATCTTGAAGCACACTCATAGTTACTTCCATGGAAGATCGTCCAACCCATGAAACAAAGCCGGTGAGCAAAATATCCTTCTTCGGCTGTTGAACATAGAAAATGTACTCGAATAAACCAGGAGTCCACATGATGGGCGATTTATTTCAAGTCATCAACAGAAAGTACATCCAACCTTCATAATTGTGTGCCTTTCAAAAAGTGAACAGTGCAACAACAAAAAAGCGGGAGAAGCAATTCTGATGAATCAAGTTGAACCTCGATAATTCAAACCTCTTGAAGTCAAATGCCTCATTATGTCAAATTCGTTTGAAGTACTTGTCTAAATTTCCTTACAAACAATGTATTACCTCATCCATGGGCAGTTTAAGACATGAAAAAAATCACACATTTTAGTCTCCAGCGATTTTTTAGTCATGCATTCAGGAAAACATACTTTCCCAATCTCTCTATTTTTTTTCTGGCCCCTTGCAGTTGGAGTTCAAGAGGTTTGACTGCATGAACAGCACAAACCATCACATTCATGAGACTTCACTGACCTCAAGTCGAAAAATGCTCACAAAATATAATCATACAACTCACATTTAAAAATGCGCCAGGTCGAAGAGTGAGGTTGTCAACTAAAGCTGTAACGATTGAAAACGGACTCGGCACATTCTGCTTTTCGTTGTAAGCATACTTGAAGCACACGTAAACTGAAAACAATATTCATCAGCCGGGTAACAAACTTTGAGTCATCTTTCGAAGGAAAGCTCACCAGAAAACACATCCAAACACTCTAAAAGTCTCCCAGTCCTGATGCCCTGGTAGACATTCACGAATTGGTTCTGCAATTCAACATCAGACTCCAAGGGTATCACAACTTCGGCGTATGAATCTCTTTGGGTTCGTTTTGGAAGCTCTGCTTGTGTTTTCGGGAGCACCGAGAGCAGTCGACTTCTTTCTTGAGCGAACAACTCCGGATCAAAGCTTGTTTGAGCGCCAGTAGAACGACTTAATTCCGTATTCACTAGAAAAGCAAGGAAACTCCAATTAATCGCGTGGAAACCGCTGAGAGAAACAATTCCTTGAAACTGCATCAGAGCTAATTTAATATTCGAACACCAGTCTATAGAACAAGATAGGAAAGGAATGAATAGGACGCAGGATAAATCTTCCAGTTGACCGTTGTTACGAACTGAAATTTAAATGTTTTTTTGTTTTTAATTTCGTGTACTTTTAAGTTGCAACACTGATTGGCAATTCGAAAGACCAGCAGAAAATTCGACTTACGGAGGTCTCAAGTTCGGAAAACAAGCATGTTTATTGCGATGAAACAAGAATTGTAAAATTGTAGAATTACTAGAATTGTAAAAATCATACTCTGGGCCTCGAATTTCTTCTGAAATGAGTAGACAGAATGCTGAACTTGGAGACATGGGTTCTTCATTTGCCAAATCCGAGCTGTGGAGGTTTGAGAGGGAAAGCTTTTGAGTTAGTGGGGTTCTTACTGCATTGTTTCAAAGCGAATTCTGACAGCGACTTTAAAAAAAGTTATTCGACACTGGGATGTTCAAGTGATCGAGTTACAATTGCACTTTCAACACACGGTTCTGTACGTCTGTAAATCACAGAAGAATATTAGGAGTGAATAATTCAGCTAATCGAGTGTATTCGACGATGAGAAGTCAATGAGAGCTCCCCATTAATGAAGCAGTTTCTTCAATTCTCCCCAGGCCTTCATGATCTCTAAGGGACATGTTTGTTGTGAGCAGAAACTTTTACGTCAGGCCCATCGTCAGTTTGAGGAACGTGGTCATTTTCTCGGTTCACTGCCGTCAAATAGTCATTCAGATAACCGGATTAGGAGCGAGGGTAAAATGGTTAGAATCGCTGTAGGGATGTTTCATTAGAAATTGAACTGGACAACTGAAACACGAAGGAATCAAAATTACATCAACTCACGTTGCTGGAGGGTAATAGGACCTCCCTGCACGGGAAACCGTCTCGGAGCACCCGACATTCGTCGAACACACGTCGTCACAAACGCACTGCAACGTTTCAATAGCATCTTGAGAGTCAACAGAAAGAGTCCAAGCATCTAACACGTAAAGCGGCTCACAACACTTCGAAAGCGCTACGCTCAAGTAGATCGGAACACATACTATTGTGATCGTTTATTGCTCTGTAATTTCAAGGAATTCATTCCACACGAATCAATTCAACGTCGAATGTGAGAGTGGCGTTGGGCGGGATAACCGGGGGATGCCCACGAGCCCCGTACGCGAAGTCCGGAGAACAGACCAATTTAGCCTTCTCGCCGACCGACATCTTGGCGACACCTTCGTCCCAGCCACGAATGACTTCCCCACGACCGATTTTGAACTTGAAGGGCTCGTTGCGATCCCGCGAGGAATCGAACTTCTTGCCGTTCGCCAACGTGCCGGTGTAGTGGACAATCACAGTTTGTCCTTTCTTCGGGAAGGTGGAATCATCACCAGATTTGTAGCTCTGCACCTCGACTCCCATGTTTAATCCACGGACTATGCGCGAGAACAAAGTTCAAGCCAAAAACAATTTCGAGAGATCCTACACCACAGATGAAAGAATGGTAAAGTCACTTCGCAATAAATCCACAGCCAAAAATTCAAAATAAACGGAATATCCTTCCTTCGCAGGGTTTTATCACAGAAGTTGCTTTCAAAGAGCACATGCAGTTGGTCAACCCAGTTTTTTGATGACCCATATTAAAAAGAAGACAGCGCAAGAGAATAAGAGAAGATATAATATGTAATAATTGTGTCCGGCTTTTCCAAGTTTGATGACTCGCGTCATTGTGGAATGAAGGAATCCTTTCCCTTTTTCAAATTCATCATCCTGAAATTATCAGAAGCGGCAGATGGAAAAATGTATTGTGATTCACAAGATATTTGTTACCATATCTTGAAGCAGTCGATTGTGAAGACGAACTTCGTCTCCAATTTCCACTGACACCTGCGAACATAATTTTCTCATTCAGCAGATGAGGATGCACAAAAGCACACTCGGATATACCGATTTCAGCGCACGAATTTTATCACGAAGCCCATCGGCCAAGCCATCATTCTCTTCCTCCACCGGTGAGTGTTGTCCTCCAAAACTGCGGTTATCTTCATATCCATAATTCGGGTCTGAAATTAAACGATTAATGCACAAGCAATACTCCAGAAAAACTTGACGGTGCTTCCTTACGGCCATGTAGGCGACGAGATGTCATGCTTGCGAAGCTATTACTCCCAGATCGAGAGAATCGGGTAGGAAAACAAGTCTGCGGACATGAATCCACAAAGCTAGTAATACTGAAAGTTATAAAACACGTATCACCAACACGAGGAAACCATATTTGAACAATTCAACGGAATCTTCTTTCAGAGTTATTTCGAAAGCTCACGACCGGTCCAAGCCAACGAATCACACCCCAGTGAACATGTCTCTCCAGCAAGATAACACGATTACTTCGCTATGCTCAAGCATAGCCGCGAGGAGGTTCAAATATTGCCTTTTAAAATAACAACGAAAACGGCCGCGTTCAAAACGCGAAACAAAACTTAAACACTGCATGTGCGCAGCACTCTCGTCGTTTGTTACGCATACATTCTTCTCTTCGCCCACATACCCAAGTCCTTTTTCACGTTCCAACATCTACACGGCACCGTACTCTCCAATTTGAATTTTGAAATTTTAGTCACTCCTCAATTTGTAAAGACACCGAAGTTAATTCCAACAGAACACCATGAGAGTAGTAAATACTGTATTACAGTACCGAAATAACGCTAGTGAGTTCAGGTCGCTCTCGTCAACATATTTCGGCAAGAATTTTTCCGGGAAATTCGCAGTTCTCCATGCCAGGTACACAGAAGAGAGAAGCACGGTACCACATAACGCAATCAAGAGCTTGGATCATGGTGCAACACCACATATCTCAAGTGTTTTGGGGGCTCGGTGTGAGGTTGTCCGTCGTCAATTCGAAGTTACCAAAGTTGTACAGACACTGAAACTTGCGGCCGCAACCAACTTATCATCAAACTATGAGGAATCGCGGAATGAGGAAGTAAGACCGACTGTGCGAAAACTGTTCCACGACAGGTGACGCTAGAGGCTATTCTTACACGTGGAACATGTTCACGATTGCACTGCTATTGCGACAGCGCGCTTACGCCAGGCACGGGTGCTTCCGCACGATTAAAGGCATCATGCAGTCACCCTTCACATGATCGAATTTCACTTATTCTGTACTCAGTTACGTTATTATAAGTTTTATAATGTTTTCCTTCGCGAGATGAATAGCACAATTTAGCGATGGCATCGGTGTTTAAAGGTAGATCACTCAGGCGGAAAACGTCTCGGGGAATTCTAACTCATGACCCTGAATCGGTGCTGAACGGCGTACCCATGACAGCGCTTTACTTTTCGGCTGCCTGGTGCGGTCCATGCAAACGTTTCACACCGTTGTTGAAGGAATTGTACGAGAAACAAGACGTCAGTGAAATTGACGTTCTTCCTGATTGAAGTCTTAAGGGCGACTCCATTTGTTTCTCTACAGGCGGGCATCGGGAAGATGATGGAAGTGGTTTTCGTTTCGCTGGACAAGTCAGAGAGCGCAATGATGGAGTATTACATGAATGATCACGGGAGATGGCTATACGTGCCTTACGAATATGGAGATTTCATAATGTGAGTCACGAACTCATAAATTCCCGATCAACTTTCCGGGATCAGCCTATTTTCTGGAGTGACACCTATTTTGTTAATTAATAACCTCCCGTTCCAAATTCTGTGTTTTAACTAAGACAGTGATGTACATGTAATACTGGACTGCACAAGTTAAGGAAGACAGTGTACAACACTGATCATGTGTGTCAGAACATTTTTATTCTTTTTAAATTTATTTAGTAGCATCATGCAGCAGGGAATATGGTAAGTAATAATTGACCAACAGTTTGCAATATAATTTTCCATGCAGGTTTTGAGAGACTTATTTGTGATCATCTGATTGACATATGCAGATTTTATTTTTTCCAGATCTCTGCAGGATAAATACCGCATCGCTGGTATTCCGTGCCTTACAGTGATTGGTAAACAGGGCAACACCATCTCCATTGAAGCAGGCAGGAAACTATCAAACATAGGCATTGACGGCTTTCGCAACTGGCTCTTCAGCAAAGTTCCCCTGGTTGTAGAACTGGACACCTTGATTGAGGAATGGAAAAGGGACTGGTTGAAGGATAATTCCGGTTATCTGGGAAATGACTCTGTGTGGCAAAAAAAGCTCTATAAGTGCATATGCCCAAATGGTACTGAGGAAGACAACGAGAAGAATAAGCAAGAGGTTGACTTGAAGGCAGTCCCAGAGCAACCAATAATACAGAATGAGGAACACAAGATTGTTACGAGAGAAGTACACTAACAATTTGTTGAATGTATAGAGTAGTTTACTTTCTTAAACTGTTGTATATATGTGAGTAACATATTACAATAGTTGTCCTATTGAGCATATACAATAACTAGAGCAACTTATCACTTACCTGACAGCAACCTTGATGCAAAATAAGTAAAAATAGGTTTGGATGACATTTTGATTCCATCATCAAACTTGACCTACATGAAGCCAAAAAGAAAAAGAGTTGATTGTTGAACATACAATATGGAATGGCGAATCATATTATGCATGTCTGGGAAAATATGGTCTTGTACTCCCAAGTGGTAATACAGAGGGAAATACACATTCTGAATAAATTTGAGCTTCAAATTTTGATACTGACAATCTTTTACAATAATTTGGAAGTACAGCATTACAGTATACACTCAGTATATCAATTTTGTCTACAGCTACTTTTTTCTGCAAAAAAAAAAGTTTTGTGCCAAGATCAATAAGATTCTCCACCAATTCTTCTACAAATAAAAGTTTTCTTCCTCAAATCTCCAGAAACAAATTTTCTGGAAGATTTTTGGCTGTTTTTTTTTCTTTCTTTTTTTCATTGACACAGGGAATAGAGAAGCAGTACAAATGCTGTTATACTGGTGTCAAATGGATCACTGATAAAGCAAATAAACCCAGCAGTTCACCATTCAGTCATAAATAAAGCTTTGAATATCACCAATTACAATTTCCTTTGCTTCTTCTTCCTTTCCCTGAAATTGTTTCCCTGATTCCAACCTTGAAAGGTCAACTTTTTCTGTGGTACCGCAAAGTTCAAATTAAAATGGTTTGATTTTACAATAAATGATTTCCCATAGTAACCTTTCATTTTGGAAATTGTGACTTGTGCAATAAACCACCTTCTGAAATGATGGGGCCTGTTTTTTCTCATTGCCCCAGGACACACTGAATATAAAGATTTTAATAACCTTAAATGAACATCACCTTGTCTTATATGGTCCAATGTATACCTCTGGAATGGCCTGCAAAAAAGTTTGGCAGCTTGGTGCTTTAGTCAGAGGATCAGAGGCTGGGGAACACTCTTATTACATTATGATACAGTATAAACATTCCAATTGGTTTGAGATGTAAAAAAAAAAAAACTCCCTGCACATGAAAAATTTTCAATTTTCATGGTATTTCCAGATTAACATATTATCTTGATGAATTTGAAGTTCAAACTGTGTACTAATTTATAAAAAATGTAATGCTCACCTGAACACCTCATCCAGCTTGTCCAGCAAAAAAAATTTTCTCTCACTTCAACTACAGGTTCCCAACCAAGAGCTTTCAATAAGAAACCCTGAACCCAAGGTGGAGTCCCAAAGCAGTCCTGAGAGAGGTGGACTGATGCCATCAACAGCAGGGCCATTATCTGGATCCCTACCAGCACCACAAACTGAAAACAGAGCAGCTGATTCCAGTTTATTGAGAAGAAATCGAGAAATTAATGTGCCAGTCATCCTAGTTAACAACAACAACAACAACAAGAGCAGACAGCATCATCATCAGCAACTCAAACCTGAGCTGCTGTTGCCAGATCCTGAAGACCCAGTGCTGGCATTTGAAGCTGCTCGCATGTCTACAGGAAGCCCAGTGGACCCTGAAGAAGACTTTCCTGAGGAAGAAGAAGTTGCTGATGCTGCCAGAAGAAGCACACGATTTTAGAACGGCATTTCTTTATATATCTAATCATATTCATGCATCATTGATCTCTTTTACGTGTATGCTGGAAACAGTGTGATTGCAAAAAAAAAATCTGCAAAGTTGTAAAAAGAATTTGCAGTATATGAAGCAATTTCACTCTGTATTTGAGTGCAGCAGATGGAGTTATTTTTTATTTTTCTTGAGCCATTTATTGTCCAAGTTTTTTCTTCTATAGTTGTCTACTAGCCCTTGGATGGCAAAGTCAGACTATTTTTGCAAAATTGTGTTGCATCTCAGAGAGGAAAAGAAAAAAAAATGACAACAGGGAGTTATTGAGGACCAAGTCAGGAAAAATCCCAATGTTTTTTTCTTTTTGCGCAGAAAAATTTTGCAGGAAAATAAAAAAATGGTATGCTATGCAACAGGCTTTTTGTGGATTAATCCTGAATTTGCCTCAGCCCATCACCTGGAAGGGCTTTTCTGACCTTCAGAAAACTTAAAATGCCCCAGCAGACAAAAATAATCCAACTTTGGCAGGCAATGGCAAGGAACCCTATGCCATTCAAGGGTAAGGGTTATTTTCAGAATTTTTGTGTACATTCTGCATGCCACACAGTGTAATGTTTACTCAGCCAGTTGAGCATTTATTAAATAGGGCTAGGGTTTACCTGTAATTTGGATGGGATTTTTGTCTGTCACATTAAAATTTATTTGTGAATATCAGTTCTTCAAACATGGTTAAAACATCTTAGAGGCCAGAAAAGGAAGGTCTTGAATACAAGCTGCAGATTTGAATTTTGAAACAATCTATTGTCATTGCGTATGAGAATCGCATTCTAACTAAGTATGAAAACATTTCAAAAGTCCCTTATACATATTCGTTGTGACCAGATTTTAATGCATAGTACAGCAGTAGCAGATGAAGGAGAAAATGTGAGTACATGAAAAACTCACATAATCTGTATACTTCTGCTATGAAAATGAGTTTGAAAGGCATGCAATGGTACACATTGCTGGTCCAAAAAATCCTCAGAAGAGAATCACAGGATTAGCCTGATTTCAAATGTATACTGGGATTAAACCAACATCCTGAATATTTTTTCTGCAGCAGTAGCCACTATTTACAAAATTATAGATCAATTCATAATGATCTACTGTATTCTTCATTTTTCTGGAAATTTTGGCAGTGTCCACATTGTAAAACAGACTGCATTCATGTCAGGAGAAAAATTTTGAAGTTTAAATTTGTTATCAGTGGAAATTATATGATAATTTCCCAATATATATTGCAAGAATATTTGCTGTCAAGCAAATATAGTTACTTGGTGTTATTCATAACACCAGGAAGAGACAATAGATTAATATATAAAATATATTAATATTCTTCCATCCCAGTACATGTGGACTGACAGACACAGACTGACAGACACATGCGTGGACCCCTGATGATGCGCACATAGTAACCCCAGTACATGGCAACCCCTTAACTGCGAAGAATCCCCAGCGCATGTCAGTTGTTAAACAACACCTGCACACGCACACACAGGTGTCCTACTCCCCTTCTGAATGTACCCCCGAATCCTGTGGTATATGAACCCCTGGAAGGATTAAGGAAGATAGGCATTTTAGCTCAGGAGACAGTACAGTTCAGAAGTCATCAGATCCCTGTGTCTTGTGGTTAATTGAATACCCTGTGTATACTGTGCATTTAAATAAAGAACATTTTTGTCTGGTACAGACTTCAGTACTTGATCATTTCCAAACCTCAATTAAAAGGAGATGCACTTACATCTTTATGTTTCCAGGGATAACAAATTGTTTGTTTATAACTTCAGTTTGCATGCTGTGGAGTGCAAAATTCGCAATTTAGGACAACCAGCTTTTTGTACCAGAGGAAATTGCTTGGAAGCCAGTTTATAGTGACAAAAATTTTTTTTATTGATCAATGAAGATTTGCACCATCCAAATGATGTCCACACATATCCAAAAAATTTGAATTTGCTCCAAAATTTTCCAAATGTGGTCCACCTGCAGTCTGCATGCATCCAAAAATTATACTTTTTTGGAAATTTCTGGACTGCATTTGGATGCATATCCAAAAATGTAGATTACTGTAAGACACATTTGGACTAATGTGGGATGACTAAATTAATTTGGATCTGATCATTTGGAGAGAAAACAGACAATATTTTGCTCACTGGAAGAGAGCAACTCAAAAACAGGTGTCATAGATGGCAGAAACAAAAACAGAACAAGTTCTGTTCTCATTTTCCCAGCAATAAGACAAATGAGATAAATAATGACAACAGATCATTTATTGTATTTCAAATCATTCATGCAGTAGCTCAAATAATAAAAAAAGAACCTCGGATTCAACATTTTAAAAATCAATGAAAATTGGTCACAGGAGAAAGGAGGGTTGTATAGATGCCATATAGGAATACCAACGCCATTCGTGTCTGGTTTGAAAAATGATGCTCCTCTATAGTGAATCTCTTTTTGAATGCTTTTGAAACATGACCAAGGATATGAACTAGCTGGCATGCGGAGGCAAATCGCGGTCCTTCAACATGAATCGAGCCCGCATCCTACTTCGGAGTGCCTCAATGTCATCAGTGTTGCCAGCTCCGGGTCTGAGCATAGCGGTATAATTTGATGCTTTGGAGACAGGTGACAGACTTGGGGACACTGGCTGAACCCCTCCACCCAAGGGATCACCTGAAATTACCCAGATATTAGGTAAATTAAGTGTTGCAGGAAAACTAAAAAAAAAATTCACAGATGTGTAGAAAATTGACAAAATGTTGAATCTCTCAAAACTGTGTCAAGAAAATGCCAGTTAATGTTATCAGAAAACTAGGGGAAAATATTGACAAAACATTTTAAGAAACAGAAATGGCCCTTTTATAAAAGCAAATGCAAATACTTTCTTTATTCTTCAGCAATGAAAATAGTTTAGCCTACATTTTGTAACACTTGATTCTGTACCACTAAATAGCTTTAAACATTACTGAGAGGTGACTGGCCCAAGAAATGTTTTGGATGTTGAGAAAATGGACAGCCTGGATGATGCGCTTCTGCAAGCTGCAACATTGGCTTTTTTGTGAAATACGAAATTTTAAAAATAGATTAAAAAAGCGCAAATGAATATTCAAGTGCTTTGAGGCCAAATTTTCCCACATACTGAACTCAGATGTCTTTACTGAACTCAGATGAGTATTTTTGAGGTACAGTCCTATATTAAACCTTACCCATTTTAGCAGTAAATTTTCAAGTTAATCTTTTACTGGAACAGAAAATATTTCAACTGCCAAAAGAAAAAATTGCACAAAATAATGCAGGCTCATGAAAATAAAAATAAAAATTTTGAGATGAGTATTTTTGAGGTACAGTACTGTATTAAACATTACCCATTTTAGCAGTAAATTTTCAAGTTAATCTTTTACTGGAACAGAAAATATTTCAACTGCCAAGAAAAAATTTTCAGAAAATAATTCAGGCTCTTGAAAAGAAGAATGAAAATTTTGAAAAATGCGCTTTCTTGGGGATTTTACTGTAGTGCTTATTTGATTGAATGTTTGTCCTTACCTTCAGACGGAACAGACTGACGAGAAGCAGGTTCTTCATTTTCCTGATTGTTTCCATAGAAATGTGATGGATTTTCGCAGTCCTGATTTGGCTCTTGTTGGGGCTTGTTTGGATTCTCTGGTATTCTCACAAATCCAAACTTGATGAATGAATCACATGAGAATCATGTGAATTTGAAAATGAAATCAAAGAAAGTCGTTTTATTACCTGCAATGGAGGCTTGGGTTCTTTTTCTTCTGGCTCCTCATCATCTTCAGCAGCTGGAGTTTCACTGTGAGAAGGCCCACTCTTATTTTGCATTGGGATCACTGGCGCAAATCCAAACTTGAGGGTGAATATATAAAAAATTAGCAACCTTTACAAAATCTGTCATGAGCCTCATGACTAAAGATGGCCAAACTAAAGGTATAAAAATCAAATTCCAGTCACTCCTCAATTTTTGCCAAAAATTTCACTTGAACAAAACATCCTCTAATTGGCTCTTACTGCACACTCAATGCATTTGATTTATTCCCAGCCTTGAAAATCCCAATAAATTTGCATGGATGAATGCATGTATCATCAGTTGTCTGAGAGAAGCAAGAATATTTTTGGAACTGATACATTTGGAATAAATACTTTGTTGTATAGCTACTTGATGAAATTCATGGTGTTGAGATGGATTTTAGTTTATACCCCTGATATACTGTACAAATTGAGTTTTTTGTGAGTAACAGATCTGGCACTCATTGAACCACAGTGATATCTTTCTACAATTTTTACATGAACAGTTCACAAAATTTGGGAATATGAATTTTGCTCTGAAAAAATATTGGTCTGATTTATTTATCCAAAAATATGAAGAAAATCATGCTGGAATTGTGAAACATGCAGCTAAATCAGCATTTGTAAATTTTCCCTGTTTTGGCAGCCCATGTTTCAGATTGGTTAAAAAAGTGAAATGAGAAAATTTCAAAAATCCACTCAAAATGTGAAAACTCAAGATTTGATGGGTTCAAGTGTGTGGGACATTTTTCATCAGATGCAGAGAATGCAAGTAAGCATCCATTGGAATGTATGACTGCAGCCTATTTTTCTAGAATACCATGCAGTTTTTCCAACAATACTGAAATACTGAATGCTATAAAAGCAAAATATACTAATAGATTCTAGGCAAGCCTGATGTTAAGCAAATTTTCCAGTCAATCATTTTGAAAATATTTTCATAACATATTAATCAATATGAGGCCACATATTTATTCTGTGGCCCCAAAAAGTTTTTTCAACATAATTAAATTGTACTGTAAATATAAATTATTTGGAGAGAATAGTGGAATGTAACTAAAATTCTTTCATATTTCTTTCTTGGAAGAAAAGAGGGTTACTAACCTTGAGTAGCCTGGCAATCCTTTGTTCATCTGTTTCACCCGGTTTTTTGCACAGGATGGAATCAGAAGTAGAAGCAAGAGTAGCTTTTGGGTCTGGTGTTGAAGTTGGCTGTGGACTTTGCACAACTGAGTTCAGGGATGCTGACCTACCAGGTCCACTACGTCTTGGGGTTGGCACACTGTCCTGAACAAAGAAAATCACAAGTAGGTGAACATGGGTTATTGGAGATGACGTATGAAGTGTATCAAGGCTATAGGATAACTCAAAAGTGTGCAGTGGTCAGTCAACAATGAATGAACAACAATAAAGCTCAAATAAATTATGCATCATAATAATTAATGACATGGATGAACTTCAATTTATTCTCTTTCCTAAAATAATGGGCTCCCCAATTGCTTTTCTGCATCACTGTCACAATATGTATAATCTAAAATCCCCTTGGTATTCAATACCATAGCTCTTTTGAGAAATTCATGTCATTTTAATGAAAAATTCATAAAAATGAAAAAGAACATCTTTTTTATAAACATTTTTAAGGTGTCTATGTGGTTTAATTTCTGCAGTATACTTGTGTTGGTTAATGCATCACCAGAGCACCATCTTTCCATGATTCCCTGCATTCCACAGCTACATAAATGAGCTTCTAAAAGATTTGGGACTCTTACAATTGAATGAAAAGGTTCTGTCCAAAATCTTGGTGAGGACCAAAATAATCTGTTAACTTGCCTATTTGATTCCTCATGGAAGATTCTCTCCAAATTGTGCAATCAACCAAACCTTATCTGGGAGCATGCTGAATACTTTGTGCTTTAAATTGGAATGAGTAAATGCCTGATGCTGCAATTCTTATGACTGAAATTTTGATCAGTTGTGCAATTTTACATTTTGGGAATGCAAAAAAGGACCAAGATCTTCAAGAAGAGACACATTCTGCATCCGACTCCGTCTCGACACAAAACTTGAGATAAGTTTGTATATTGTATTCTAAGTTTGTATATTGAATGTGATGTTCCTGGATAGAAGACATGCAGGAATTTCCAGAAGCTTCACCTGGTTTTGACCATTGCTTGTCCTTGGATTAGCTGAGAGCCATGGGGCATTGCCACCTCCACCTGAGGCCCCAAATTCATCCTCCTCTCTTCTCAAGACAGCTTCATCCAGCTCCAACACTTCATGTGAAGGGTTGCTTCTCACATTGGAGCTTTTATTGGCTGCACTCAAAAAATAATAATTAAACATGGTAGAGTATTGATCCAAAATATACTGTATTGTACATGTAAATCCCATAAATTTAAGGGATCCTGGTCATTTCCTGATTTTAATTTAATTTAAATAAAAGGGTCAAACAGGTATATTATTCTCATGTGATTTACCAATAAACTCAACCACAAAATTTTTTTAAACCATCATCTAAATGTTTCATAAATGTATTAAGTCAGTAGATAATGAATGGACAGCAGCACATTATAAAATCATTACTATCATGTACTGTTAAGGTGAAGCACCAGAAATTTCATTTGTTTTACCAATGCAGAAAAATCTTGCAAAAAAGGTCTTGAAATTATAAAAAGATGGCATTTTGGGATTTGAATATAGCCACAATAAGTTTTGAGTATTCTGGAAGTTTATTCCTGGTTCCATCAATGGCTGGTTCCATCAATGAGTCCAAAAAACATCCAATGAATTTGGCAATGCACTGAGATGGTTCATTCAATGGAGTTTTAGCAATTGGTCAGTTTTAAAATTGAATAACATTTTAACTCTCACAGAATATGTCACCCCCAGCAGTAACAGGTACTCCTATTTAAAGAAACATTCAGGGTGGAGAGAATTAAATAATTTTGACATATTTTTCTGAAGCATATTCCACTGAGGTTTTGACAAAATTTGGGATACAGGGTTTTGTCATATTTCTCCACTTTCACATTTTCTTGGCACACTATTTTCATTTTTCTTTCACATCCCAAGTGATTTCTGCTGCAGTTAAAACATGCTATTTGCTTGCATACATGGAAACTGAATTTTCACAGGCTTTACTCACGTCCAGCAGAAGAGGAATGTCTGGTAGCAAGACCAACATCACCAGCATCATCATCATCATAATCAACATCATCTGCCACAATTGTAACTTGATCATCACTGGAATCTGTTCCAGCTTCCACTCTAGACTCTTGACTTGCAACATCAGGCAAAAGCAGAAGGGCAGAAGTATTATTTGGCAGGACTTGGTCAACGTTATTTATTTTGACTTTAGCTTCACTGCGTTTTTTTCTCCTTGATGAAGGGAGAAAATCCGGGATCTGTGGCTCTGGTGGTGGGGACGATTTCCTACCTGAAGAAAAATTGAACACTTTTTCATCAATATGACAAAGATTGAAAATTTCAAGTACATTTTGTGAAAATAGCCTTGGTAATAGAATTTTGATGAAATAAAATATAAATACATAAAGGAATTATGTAATATTTCATCTGGGATGCAAAGTTTTTTTATAAATTAGGATTGCACATTTGGCAAACACACACATCTTCCACATATATAAACCTGCTCTTTTTTGAACTACAGTTGAACCTACATAATCTTGAGTTATCAAAATCCTGTCATTCCTTCTCAGTAGCAGGTATTGCAGATGACACTTGAAGCAGTTATTGCCTCTTTATTAATCTGTTGTCCTCAATGATGTGCCATGTAAAGACTTGCCCTATGGTGAGTTTTTCAACAACCCTAAAATAAGGTCACATCCAGGTCTGACCAGTCTTGCCCAATTCTGGACTGCAAAGTGTATAAAGTTATCTACCTTTCTTGCTTATTGCTAAATAACTACTTAAAGGAAGAACTTTACAGCGTTGTTAATTCTGTTGAATACAAGAAACATATGTAATGTACTTTCTATTCCCACCAAGGAGAACTCTATTATACCAAGAAGTACTCAATTTATGAAACTTGGCAATAAAGATAAGAAAACTCATCAGATAAATATAGTCAGACTTAGACCAAGGATACAATACAATGGTAGAGCATTTCAATATAAAGACTCAAGAGATATCCTGAAATCTCTGTAATTTCTCATCATCTAGTTGACCTATAGTCAAATACTGCACTGTACTTTGCTATGTTGGTGTATTTTTCAAGCCCCCCTCTGAATTCCTTCATGAACAATGCATTAAAAACTCCCCTACCTTTCACGCTTTCCCTCATGAAACTCCGGAACTCCAATTTTCTTGACCTTTCTCTGGCTATTATTTTATTGACACAGAAAAAAGAAATGCTAACCAATGTAACAATGTGTTTTGAAAGTAAGTGGAAGACCAATTGGTTAAATCAACTCTTACAATAAAATTCAGAATCTTGTCAACAATGGAAAGGCAAAAAATTTGAAAAAATAACCATTACCTGTAATTATTCCCCAAACTGAAATTTTTTTTGCTGTTCCCTCGAAGAGGTTGAATCACATACAGTGAGACCCCCACATGTGGACACCTCAACATGGGGACAATTTAACATAAGGACATTCATTTTTCCATAAAAAAATCATAAAAAGGCCAAACATAGGGGGACTGACTCAACATGAGGACATTGCATGATAAAATTGCCAATACATTTTAGGAAAATTGACTTTTACTAGGCTTAACCCTTGGACCTCTAAGTCGGACTATTTTTGCAAAATTTCGTAGCACCTCAGAGAGGTTAAGAAAAAAATCAGGACAGGGGGCCAAGGGCGAAGTCCGGAAAAATCCCGGCGTTTTTCTCCCTCCAGGCAGAAAAATTTTGAGGGAAATGAAAAAAATTCTCAGTGGAGCCTTTCTTTCATTTCCCTGTGGTTGTGCTTCTGAGGCCTGAAGATCCACGCCAAAATAGTTCGAAGGAGGTGACCAGGAAGAGAAGAGGAAGAACAGATGCTTTTAGGAAAATAAATGGTAGAGAATCCCTGCAATTCATGAAAGGCATAAGCTGATTTTTGGATGAAAAGGCTTGGTGTTTTGGGGACAATTCATTCATGATTCTCTTAATCTTCTTCACCTTCTGTGTACAGCACATCCCTTCTTTCATTGATAAAAAGTTCCATTGCTCATTGAAAAATGTTTGGAACAAGAGTTCAGAATAGGAATAAAACCTTGAGAACCTCTCTGAAGAAGGTTTAGGAAGCCTGGGAAAAGAAAAAGCTCAGGAAAATAAGCTCAAGTGTAACAAATTATTGGAATGTTTGCTAACAGTGTTTTAGCTGGCATGAAGATCTCATCAAAATCTTCCACCAGCTTCAAAAGCAGTTGAAAGGCTTTGAATGTAGGACCCTTCAGCAAAAATCCTTCTTGGAGGTCAGAACTGTGGAAATTTGGAAAAAGTCCAACTTTGGACAATTGAAGCAACTGGCTTTTCTCAGATAAATCTGGACTTTGCCGCAGCCCACCTGAAGGGGCTTTTCTGACCTTCAGAAAAGTGAAAAGGCGGCGGCACCCAAAAATAATCCGACGTTGGGCAGTGATGGGAAAGAACCCTCCGCCATCCAAGGGTTAATTGCCAGAAACAGATATTTCCAACCCTAAGATCTGTGTAAGAAAAATTCTGTGGTACTTTCCCCATCACTTTCCCATCCATTCAACTAATTTAAAAAAATTAACTGTAGCACAGAGGGACTTCCTTATCTTTTTGTGACTTGAATGTTATTTTTACAGATGCCAACATTTCAATGAACTGTGAAGTGGTATACAGTGTGGGGTTGCAAACAACGCGGCGTGACCAAAGCACAGCATCCTTGCTTGGGCACACACATGTCTACGTCACAGCAGCAGCCCGCGGACCCAGAGGTGAAGTGGCACCGGGTTTGCCACATTGCCATAAACTGGGTGATTAAAATAATGATCTGGGAATGGAACCAAACCCAGCAAAGGCTCCAAAGCCTTCACTCTGCTATGAGCTTTGCCTGACGGCGGATTGTTGAATTCTTTGGTCTCTGAGGAATTGTCTGTCTGAGTTACTTGTGTGTGTGTGTCTTAGAGACTTCTTTTTGTTGGTTGCCTGTGGGTTGCTGAGTAAAATAGATTACTTGAGGGACTCCCATCTGGAGGACCTGGCCTTGTAAAGGCTGAATGGTGCTTTTCATTTCTTACAAACCCTTTGTCATTCCAGCCTGACAAACAGTACTATTCAATGCTCCAAATAATCTTATTGGTTTGAAAATATATTTACTGAATCAAATTGAAGGGGCACACAATTTTTTTCCCTGGAATTCTGAAGAATATTTCTTCCATAAAACACCAATTAAAATTTATATAATGTAAGTCTTTTGGAAAACAAGACTAAACTTAGGGACAATTGAACTTAGAAACACTCCTGATGCACCAATTACATGTCTGCATTTGGAGGTCTCACTGTACTGTATCCACCTAACTGGTTTGATCTGTCCTGCTCTGCTTACTTGCACATCTATACTGTAGTGCCATCTATAGGGATAACTCTATAACCCCAAGTAGAAAAGACACTCACTAGAGGGCAGTGATGACTGTTCACCAGCACCATCATTCTCAGGGTAATATCCATAATTATCGCAGCAGCTGCAGAGAGTCTCGCTCTCCTCCTCACCACAGATGTGAACACGTTCATTCCAATGAACCTGTTTACTGTCGCCATCTTCTTCTCCTTCTTCCTTGTTCCTGATTCGTCCGCCTCTGCGCACCCAATCACAAGCGAAGAACACCGAATCCATGTCCGAGACGAGTCTGGCTTCTTCCGCGCGACTGCTGCAAATAATGGCAGCCGATTCCGTCATTTCCTGTGGACTGCTATTGGACACAGCCTTCTGGAGAATATTGCACAGCGATTGCTTCTTGCGAATCAGTCCTGACAGGCATGGTTGCGTCTTCAAGAGCTTGTCCCGAAGTCGGTGAATGTACCGTTTCTTGACGGGTTTCGAAGCGTGCTTGGAGGTGACACCTATGCGGAAAAAATACAGAGCCTTAAACAAGAATTTTCCATTCTTTATTGTAATAAGAGTGAGACCCCCACATGCAGACACCTTGACCTGCAGACAAGTCGACATAGGGAGACTTATTTCATCATTAAAAATTGATTGAAAAGGCCCAACATGAGGACACTGACATTGACGTATATAGGGATTTTTTTTTATAAAATTGCAAATACATTTCAGGCCAAATTACAAGAAACAGATATTTCCAACCCTGAAATTGATGTAAGAAAAGTTCTTGCGCATTTCTCTCACCAATTTACCATCCTTTTAGCTAATTAAAAAAATTACTTTCAGCAGAGTGGGACTTCCTTCACTCTTTTCCACTTAATTGCATATTATTTTTAGAGAGAATGCCAACATTTTGATGTACTCTACAGAGGTATCAGTATTCAATTCCCTATATGCCCATATTGTGTTGAAATATATTGATTGGAATCAGTTGAAATTAGGATACAATCTTTATTTTCATGGAATTATGGTGAGTATTTTATAAATAAAACACCAATTAATAATTATATAATTTAAGTCTAAGGGAAAATGAGACTCAACTTAGGGACACTTCAACTTAGGGACACTCTTGATGCACCAATTACATCTGCATCTTGGGGTCTCACTGTATAACAGAAGTTAGTGTAGCAACATATAAAATGCATTTGTAACATGTGCTGCAGCTTGTATATTCAGCAAGATTGAGAAGCTGATGCATCTAACGTTGGTACATAAGTGCATTGATGGACATGAGCATTGAGGGGTTATCAGAACAAAGGCTTTCTTACAATTGCAGGATTTTCCCCAAATTTGGCTTCTCAGCCAAAGCTGCATTTGGGTGACCTTTTATGTCAAACCAACATTCAGAAGTCAGCCCAAAAATCTCAGCACCACAGCAAAATGCAAATCATTGAATCTGGTGTTTTTTCTGCACAGTTATATTTTTCATTGTACAGAAGTTTAGAAAAACACTCAATATTTCTGAGGATTTATTGGCCATTTTTGATGAATTGTAGAACCATTTGAATAGCAGTTCCCTAAGAATTCGAAGATAAAAGGGCCCTGACAAATGGATGCCCCAATATAGAGAATAAAACACAAATTACATTAACATTTTGGGGCCTCACTGTGATTCAAACAATATAATCCACACAAGAAATCTTTTTCACACTGCACCTCTCCTTCTATTACAATGGTTTTCATTTTCTCTTTTTTTTAACTCTGATGAAGCTGAAACCATTCATTTTGTTTGTGAGTGGAATTTTAAACTGAAATTCCAGCAACAGAAGTATAGTACATTACTGTAATCTTTATTGTTTATCAAATTGAATCCTCCCAGCATTTACAGAAGTACAGTCAAACCCCATTAAACCGTCCCCTGATAAAACTCCACCCTCACCTCCCACCATATTTTTACGCCAAACAGATCTCCACAATGTTAGAAGGATGGGGAAACCTTGATAGACCGCCATCTGCCGTCCGCCAACAATTTTCTGGCCTCGATTGTCCTTGTTTTTTTACCCCTTTAAACTGCAAATTTGGAGAGAGATTCAATTTTGAAATATGAACAGAATGCCATTGCTGAAAAATCAGGTACAAATGGATGCAATATTTGCTCCAAAATTAAGCAAGAACACTAATAAAAATGCACAAGAAGTCATATATTAAAGTAAAGGTATTCTTATATCCATCATCCTTTTTCTTAATTTTTTTTGTCCTGTATAGTAATTTTGTAGTGAACCACTACCCTTGTTAGACCGCCACCCTTGTTAAACCACCAAAATCTTGCTGCACAGATGTTGGCGGTTTAACGGAGTTTGACTGTACTTATGACTGAGAAATACTGTAAGACACATCTTCACTTTGTGACAATATATGGGTATACGTTAGTGAAAGAGAGGTCATGCTACAGTATATAAAACTAACAGGCAATATACTATTTTCTGTCTATTTTTGAACTGAGATTACTGACATAGCATAATAAAATATATTATTGATCATGAGAAATTATTTAAAATCCGAGAATGATTGCCTCAAACCCAATTTTACATTGTGAAATGCGACCCATGATACTGACAAAATTTCAGATATGCAGCTTTCAGGAAAACTACAAACTTTGGATAGTTGAATGCAGTAATGGTGTCTCAAATTAGGTACATATTTCCCTGTAGTATAACATCCAGCACTGATTCTAAGAATGTGAAAATTAATCAATATTGAAGAAATTTTGATCAAAAACACATACATTTTAGCATAAAATGTCCATGGATGAAAGTATGACTGTCATATGATGCACAGTACCTTCACAGTTTTGATGACAACTGCTGCCAGAACTCTTCAATTCAGGTACATCAAAGCTTGTTCTAGATTCCAGGTTGGTAGAGGCTGGTGATGACTGTCCAGCAGCTGCTTGAGAGCTGGGTTCCACACAACCTTCTTCCATAACTGCATTTCCATTGCTGGGAATATTCATCAGGAAATCACTGCCACCTCGGTTCCTTATTGAAATATTTTGTTTTCACAATAAAAATATTTCCTTGAATACAGAAATCGCTCAGATATGATGCACCTTCTTCTATATCTTTACATGTAATTAATTGTACAATCAATTATAAATCAATCTAAATTGCAAGTCTCAATGACAGAGGAATATTTGTGCTTAGTATTCATCCTTGTATCAGATATAATCTTCAGTATACAGGTGGTACCTTGCAATGTAACCCTGATCTGTTGCCAAACTGGGGTGAAATTGTGAAGAGGTCAATTGGCATGACACACTTTGTGAAATTCAAAAATATCAGTACAGAAATGCAAAAAATGGCAAAGCAGGTCAACTTATGGGGGGGGGGGGGGGGGCAAGGGTCAAATAGCAAGTCAACCTCCCTGAAAATTTCAAAATCAAATTGAAGCATGGTCAAATGGTGGTAGGTAAAACTGCAAGGTGCCACCTGCACAGGGAGTCATTTCTATAGTCAATTATATAAACCTAAGTCAGGAAAGCAGTTCCCAAAAGCTAAGTTTGAATGGGTTGAATATTTATGGTCAATGTTTCTCCCCACACCAGCAGTGACCTTGCAAATCTGGACAAGCAGTTTACTTTTTCATAATGTTCAAGTACAGATTGCATACTCACATGGGTTGTCCCAGTTGGACACAGCCTTCAATATTTTTTAGAGTAAATGTGATTGAAAAAATAATCCGGATTAAAACATGTGAGTACTGCAAATTATGTTCCAAGTTTCTGGCATTTTTAGCAGTTTTGAAAAAATCAAATTTACAGCCTGCATGATAAGTACAAACCTTCCAGTTACATTAAAAGTTCTCTACCCAGAGTGCTGAACATCCATCAGTTAGCTGATAAACTGCGAGGGTTCTAACAAAAGTTCTTGGAGTAGCAATGAAAATGGCATACAATTAAGTTGAAAAAAATTTATTCTCTAGCCAAAACATATTCTTTGGCACACAAAAAAAATCAGCTCAGTTTGACAATTTTTTTTAATTTTTTGCAAAATTCATCTATATAGAGTTTTGCTCTCCACTCAAAAAATGAGGCGCCCTTTTTTGTTGTAGCCCAGCTTTCCCCTCAGAATTTTTGAAATCAACAAATACATTTCAGGCCAAATTACAAGAAACAGATATTTCCAACCCTGAAATTGATGTAAGAAAAGTTCTTGCGCATTTCTCTCACCAATTTACCATCCTTTTAGCTAATTAAAAAAAATTACTTCCAGCAGAGTGGGACTTCCTTCACTCTTTTCCACTTAATTGCATATTATTTTTAGAGAGAATGCCAACATTTCTATGTACTCTACAGAGGTATCAGTATTCAATTCCATAAATGCCCATATTGTGTTGAAATATATTGATTGGAATGGGATGGTGGAATAACGTCGTGATTCCAACACCGGATTACTATCATCAAGCCTATCCTGGAACAAAAATTGGGAAATTGAAATTGGGATACAATCTTTATTTTCATGGAATTATGGTGAGTATTTTGTAAATAAAACACCAATTAATAATTATATAATGTAAGTCTAAGGGAAAATGACTCAACTTAGGGACATTTCAACTTAGGGACACTCTTGATGCACCAATTACATCTGCATCTTGGGGTCTCACTGTATAACAGAAGTTAGTGCTGTAGCAACATCTACAATGCATTTGTAACATGTGCTGCAGCTTGTACTGTTCAGCAAGATTGAGAAGCTGATGCATCTAAACCTGGTACATAAGTGCATTGATGGACATAAGCATTGAGGGGTTATCAGAACAAAGGCTTTCTTACAATTGCAGGATTTTCCCCAAATTTGGCCACTCAGCCAAAGCTGAATTTTGGTGACCTTTTATGTCAAACCAACATTCAGAAGTCTGCCCAAAAATCTCAGCACCACGGCAAAATGCAAATCATTGAATCTGGTGTTTTTTCTGCACAGTTATATTCTGCATTGTACAGAAGTTTAGAAAAACACTCAATATTTCTGAGGATTTATTGGCCATTTTTGATGAATTGTAGAACCATTTGAATAGCAGTTCTCTAAGAATTCGAAGAGAAAAGGGCCCTGACAAATGGATGCCCCAATATCAAGAATAAAACACAAATTACATCAACATTTTGGGGCCTCACTGTGATTCAAACAATATAATCCACACGAGAAATCTTTTTTACACTGCACCTCTCCTTTCTGTTACAATGGTTTTCATTTTCCCTTTTTAAAAACTCTGATGAAGCTGAAACCATTCATCTCGTTTGTGAGTGGAATTTTAAACTGAAATTCCAGCAACAGAAGTATAGTACAGTACTGTAATCTTTATTGTTTATCATTTGAATCCTCCCAGCATTTACAGAAGCACTTATGACTGAGAAATACTGTAAGACACATCTTCACTTTGTGACAATATATGGGTATACGTTAGTGAAAGAGAGGTCATGCTACAGTATATAAAACTAACAGGCAATACAGTGGCCCCCCTCCTAACAGACCTCCCGTGTAAGGGATTTTTGCCAAACATACCAGCTCTGCAAGCAGTTTTTCCTCCCGCCCAACAGACAAAATCCGCCAAACAGACTTCTTTTGGTTCAAAATTAGTGTTAAAAATTGAAATTTTTATTTTTTTATGTAATTGANAACAGACAAAATCCGCCAAACAGACTTCTTTTGGTTCAAAATTAGTGTTAAAAATTGAAATTTTTATTTTTTTATGTAATTGAATTTGTGTAAAGGACTTTTCATCTAACAGACTTATTGTCCCTTGCACAAATCAAGTCCATTAGACGGGGGTTGACTGTATATATTAATATTTTCTGTCTATTTTTGAACTGAGCTTACTGACATAGCATAATAAAATATATTATTGATCATGAGAAATTATTGCAAATCCGAGAATAATTGACTCAAACCCAAGTTTCAGCTTTTATACATTGTGAAATACAACCCATGATACAGGCAAAATATCAGATATGCAGCTTTCAAGAAAATGACAAAACTTTCAAAAGTTGAATATATTAATGGTCTCAAATTAGGTACATATTTCCCTGTAGTGTAACATCCAGCACTGATTCTAAAAATGTGAAAATTGAACATTATTATAGAAGAAATGTTGTAGATCAAAAACGCATACATTTTAGCATAAAATCTCCATGGATGAAAGTATGACTGTCATATGATGCACAGCAGTACCTTCACTGTTTTGATGATAATTGCTGCCAGAACTCTTCATTTCAGGTACATCAAAGCTGGTTCTAGATTCCAGGTTGGTAGAGGCTGGTGATGACTGAGGTCGTCGACGAACTCTCGACCCAAGGTGTGTTGGAAGAAGGTATTGACGTAAAGGTAACGACCCTTATAAGTAGTCCTTTAGTGACGGTGGAGCCAAGGAATAACTTTATAAAACAAAAGTGTTACAAAATATTTCCTTGAATACAGAAATCGCTCAGATATGATGCACCTTCTTCTAAATCTTTACATGTAATTAATTGTACAATCAATTATAAATCAATCTAAATTGCAAGTCTTAATGACAGAGGAATATTTGTGCTTAGTATTCATCCTTGTATCCAATATAATCTTCAGTATACAGGTGGTACCTGGCAATGTAACCCTAATCTGTTGCCAAACTGGGGTGAAATTGTGAAGTGGTGAATTGGCAAGACACACTTTGTGAAATTCAAAAATATCAGTACAGAAATGCAAAAATTGGCCAAGCAGGTCAACTTATGTGGGGGGCGGGGGGGAGGCAAGGGTCAAATAGCAAGTCAACCTCCCTGAAAATTTCAAAATCAAATTGCTGCATGGTCAAATGGTGGTAGGTAAAACTGCAAGGTGCCACCTGTACAGGAGTACTTTCTTTAGTCAATTATATAAACTTCAGTTATGAAAACTGTCCCAAAAGCTGAGTTTGAATGAGTTCCATATTTATGGTCAATGTTGCTCCCCACACCAGCAGTGACCTTGAAAATCTGGACAAGCAGTTCATGCAATCTGTACTTGAACATTATGAATAATTTTTACAACCCTCACATGGGTTGTCCTAGTTGGACATGGCCTTCAATATTTTATGAATAAGTGTGATTGTAAAAAAATCAAGATTAACAAATAATGTGAGTACCATAAATGATTTTCAAAGTTTCTGGCATTTTTAGCAAATAAGAAAAGATTAAATTCACTGCCTGATGATTAGTATACAAACCTTCCAGTTACATGTCTATTTTCTAAACATTTTTTGCTGAGTCATTTTTTTAAAATTTCAGCTACTGGTTGAAAAAAAAATCAACTTTGTAGTTGGCCTGACAAATATTTAGCACCATATGACATGAGTATAGAATTATGGGTGTTACTTGCAAGTTTTCACTGATCATCATGCAGTACATCTAACAACTAAAACAGACATTTTCTCACTCATTGGGAGCTGGGAGCCAGCTGAACACCTTGTGCTTTCATTAGTGTTCAGTAGTTTTCTGATGCTGTAATTTTAATACTGATATTTTCTATTAATTATCTGGGGTATAGGGGACAAAGTGTGTGTATTCATATGTTCAGTTGTGCATTTTTACATTTTGCGATGTATTTTCTGTTCTGTCAACCTTTGGGCAGCAGCAGGTTCTTTTGCATCATGGAGTGGTGCCAAGATTGTTTGCAGGCTCCTTTATTTTGGTTTGGCTGAGTAAATTTAAATTTTAATAGACCTGCAAAAAATGACTTTTTTTTAGTAGGAAAAATCCTGCCAAAAGAAAGTCATTGTACTGATAATCCCCCAATGCTAATCATATGGCAGGAATGCAAAAAATGCCACCCAGCAGCAGTATAACTTCTTGAATTTTCTTTGCTAATTTGTCTGCAGGGAATGCTAAAAATAATATTATTTTCCCAGCTTTGACTGTTCCAATCACTTTTGTTCACCCTTGTTTCTATTCCTTGGGGCACAACATTTTGCAGATGATCCCTGGCACCACCATTCAAGGGTTAATACCCATATGTACAGTGGCTTATTTCCCTACTTTCCATCTTAATGTGATGGACTGTGTATGGATGGATTTGGACATGGAGGGGACAGGGTTTGGGCATGGAAACATTTTATAGGAACCTTGTGAATGCTGAAAAGCAAAAAAGAAAGCTTTTTTTAATCTATCAATCAGTTGAGAAACTTTATTAAATCTTTCAAATGTGGGAAATTCACTTGCCTGCAAGAGTAATTCCCGACGCTGAATTTGCATCCACGTTTTTCTTCAGTACCTGAATAAATTCACATCAAGTATCCATTAATATTTGATTTGTCTCCTGTAGAAATCTTATTCCCTTTATATAACTAACCTATTGTGAAGCTCTTCTTGTGACAGTTTTCAACTCCAAGCTGATCATAATTCCTGCTTTGATCCATTAATTTGCCGAATGACGTTGCTTGTGACAATAAAATGGGTTCCTTNCCCTTTATATAACTAACCTATTGTGAAGCTCTTCTTGTGACAGTTTTCAACTCCAAGCTGATCATAATTCCTGCTTTGATCCATTAATTTGCCGAATGACGTTGCTTGTGACAATAAAATGGGTTCCTTAGTGCCTCCTGACTATTTGAAAATCCGAATCAGAAGACCGAAAGGCGGGTTTTCAAATTCAAAAAGGGTTCTAAATTCTGACCTTGTACCTGAGGGTTTCGGATGATCCGAGAAATTCACGCGGCGTTCGGGATTTCCTGAAGCCCGAATTCGAACGAAATGCCTGCAAATTTGTTTTCAGGAAAAAAAAATTAGGTACATGAAAAGGTGAACGAATCTCGGGGCCCCACTATTGTGTTTTAATTTATAAACTAAAACACTGCATACAATAGTTGAAGTGGTAGATTTTGAATCAAGGGACTGTGGATTTTCATGTACTTAGTATTCTTCTCATGCTATTGGTAGCATTCAATTCCATATGCTCAGGTTGACAAATGAGCCTAATTTCCATGCGTGAGCAAAATTAACCTGCACATGTAAGATAATTCAGCTTTAAAGACTCAATTTTCTCATTTTAGGTATACTTTGTAACTGATCAAGGTCATAGAAACACAAATTTGGCTTGAAAGAAAATAATGAAAATTCATAATAGGGATAAAAATAATAACAATCAAAATAATAAAATTGACAAATAAAATACAGATCATAATAATAAAATTGACAAATAAAATACTGATTCAGCCTGGGACAAGGCTAGGGATTCTTGGTAGAATCCCTAATTGAAGATTCAAGTATTTTTTGAATGTTAAGACAGAAATTTTGACTTAATCTGTAATTTATAGAACATATTCTCAACACTTCAACCTCTCAGCAAGAGCATTACCTTTTGAGTAACCATTTCCAACAATGTTGGACAAATCACTGATGATGAAATTATCATGTAAAAGGGGTTTTTATTAATTTCTTCATCTTATCCTTGATCCAGCATTCTGATCAAGGATGGGATGAAGCAAAAGACGTGTGATTTACCAGAGAAATTCAAGTCAAAGACATCTTGGCACCAGAAGCTTTTGATGTGGTATGGGAGTGGGGAAATACATTGCCAGTCTTCATCAGACTTGGTTTTCTTCTTTTGAGGTTTTCCACCAGATTTGTTTATGCACCAAATTAGTTTTATGCCTTGATTAATTGAAGTTTGTGACAAGTCCCCAACACACTTGACTCAATTTTATTGTAGACATTTGACACCAAATACTTGAACATTCAACTTTGAAGGTTCATTATATATGGAAGGAACAGATGTTGTACTTATTTCCATCTTGTCCAGGAGCTCTGCAACCAAAGAAAAAAGCCACCTAAAGACCTCCACATAACAGGAAATTGCACTGAATTTTCCATTATGCAAAAACTTACTAAAATTGAACCTCTGTAAGTCAAATTTCTAGGGACCAGGAAAAGATTCAACTTGGGAAAATTTTGTCTTTTGGAGGTTTCCAGTTGAGAAAACAAGTGGAGACCTCCACTTGAGTGGTGGTTGAGGAGAAGTGAAGAAAGTGTGGGAAATCGTAAATGAGGATATTCCAGGCCTGAAATTGCTCCTTAATGAGTGTACACATTGCTGAACTTTGAGGAAGGATGGCATTTGCTATATTTGTCTTTCTCTTCCTTTCAAGATGCATCAAATTATTTGCTTTAATGATTTTCTCTTTCATATTTAGAGGAAATAGTAACCAGAAGGCCTCAGAAAATTTGACTTACAGAGGTTTTAGAGAAGAAGACTTCGAGTTAGGGAGGTTTTTAATGTATTGATTCTAAGGGAGTTCAGACAGGGACTTGAAAAAAATTCAACTTGGGGAGGAATTTGACTTATCAAGGTTCACCTGTGTTACTGACCAGTTTTTAACACGTTTTTATTAACTCGCTTTCTTGCCTGTTTGTTTGTCCGGATCAAATTTTGCAACTCAAATT